AAAAAAAGCGTAAATAAATTAAGAAAAAAAAAAAAAGAAATAAAGGGAGGGAAATCGAAAAAGAAATTATACCATCATATTAGTTATCAAAGTATTTCTAGTTGTCCATTTAGCACATCTTAAATATAGAAAAAGAAGTTTATTGTAGATAAATTAGGAAAATATTTATTAATAAAGTAATAGCAAAAAGAGTTTTGAAATTTATAAAAATAATTAATTTTGAATAAAAAATAATAATGTGATGGATGAAATAAACAAATTGAATTGAGAGAGTAAGGAACAAATAGCACAAAATTAAGAAGTGGTAAAGGTGTATATATAATGACCAGAGAAAGATGTATATATAATGGCCTTGGCCAATTGACGATCAACGTGGCACGATAAGCAACATATTCTTTGTTGCTGATTTTTGGTTGGTAAAAATATAAGAATAATAGCAACATGGTTTTATGTTGCTAATGCTTTAGGTGCTTGGAAAATTTTTAACATGTCCCTTGTTGTTGAAATTCAACAATAAGAATCATGTTGCTGAAAGTGGAGCTCATTTTTAAATGTATAATGTGTATTGTGTGGTGCCCACAATATTTTAGCAACATGAGGTATGTTGTTGAAAGTTACCTTTTGTTGCTGAAAGTTACCTTTTGTTGCTGAAAGTGGAATAACCTTTTAGATATGAGAGTGTATTGAATAACTTTCAACAATATAGCCTTTGTCATTGAAAATCTATATCACCAACAAAGCTACTCGTGTTATTGATACCTTGTTGCTAAGGGTAAGAAAAGGAAGAATTTTAGTAGTGGGGTGTAGGTTTCTCCTATTCCTTTACTTACTTACTTGTATATTATATAACTCAAATTTAAAATTTTTTATTTTTATTAAAAAAATTATCATTAAATTATTAGATTGTTGACAACTTTTAAAGTGATTTTTAAATAATGTTTTTTACTTAAGTATACTTCTAATTTTGTGACAAGAGCCGACCCCTAACTGGGTCGGGAGACCGACAACCCGGCAAGGGCGTCCACCGCCGTTTAAAAAGTATAAGATTCACCATATCCTAGCGCAACAGTTCGGGTCATCAACCCTTATCCAAAATCCACCCAATCCATAGACATTTAACGGTCGGGTGACCCGCTTTCACCCGCCTGTATTCTTCGCTCTCCCTCCTTCGTTATCCTCCAAAAAAAAAACTCCACGTGTCCTTCAAAAAATAGTTTAAGCTCCACGTCTTCTCTCGTTTTCTGCTTTGTAACAAAAAACGAATCCCCCGAGAAAAAATTCTCTGGCTTTTCCGTCGAAATTATCTTCAGAAGGAAGATTTTCCCGAGAAAATTCGTTCGCTTTCTTCAGCTTCCACAGTAACCTTCAAGTAATTCTCACGAGCTCACGCGAACCGCCGAATTACCGGAATGACACTCTCGATACCAAGCCAATTTCTCTACCTAACACAAGCTCCCACTTTCTCGGTGCAACGGAGATTTGTCTCTTTCCAGCGCGAATTTCACTCCGTCGGCGCCAGAATATGTCGAGCGAGGACGAAAGACCTTATCCTCGGCAACCCCTCGGTGACGGTGGAGAAAGGCAAGTACAGCTACGACGTGGAAACCCTAATCAATAAGCTGAGTAGCCTCCCTCCTCGCGGCAGTATTGCGCGTTGCCTGGAAATCTTCAAGAACAAGCTCTCGCTGAACGACTTCGCTCTGGTGTTCAAAGAATTCGCGCACCGCGGCGACTGGCAGCGGTCGCTTCGCCTCTTCAAGTACATGCAGCGCCAGATCTGGTGCAAGCCAAACGAACATATCTACACGATTATGATCAGTCTGTTGGGACGCGAGGGCTTGCTCGACAAGTGCCGCGAGATTTTTGATGAAATGCCCAGCCAAGGCGTTCCCCGCAGCGTGTTCTCCTACACAGCGTTGATCAACGCGTACGGTAGAAACGGCGACTATCAGGTTTCGCTTGAGCTTTTGGATAGAATGAAGAAGGAGAAGGTATCCCCAAGTATTTTGACCTATAATACTGTGATTAATGCGTGCGCGAGGGGTGGGTTAGATTGGGAAGGGTTGTTGGGTTTGTTTGCGGAAATGAGGCATGAAGCTGTACAGCCTGATATCGTCACTTATAATACTTTGCTTAATGCTTGTGCTAATCGAGGTTTAGGTGACGAGGCAGAGATGGTTTTTAGGACTATGAATGAGGGGGGAATAGTGCCAGATTTAACAACATATAGTTATTTGGTTGATACATTTGGGCGGTTGGGGAAACTTGAGAAAGTCTCGGAGCTTCTTAAGGAGATGGAGTCTGAAGGGAATTTACCAGATATTATGTCCTATAACGTGTTGTTAGAGGCATATGCAAAGGCAGGGTCTATTAAGGAGGCAATGAGTGTCTTTAGGCAGATGCAAGCAGCAGGTTGTGTGCCCAATGCGGCTACATATAGTATTTTGTTGAATTTGTATGGGAGAAATGGGAAATATGATGCTGTTCGCGATCTTTTTCTTGAGATGAAAGCCAGCAATACAGAGCCAGACGTGGCTACATACAATATTTTGATACAGGTGTTTGGACAGGGTGGCTATTTTAAGGAGGTGGTGACTTTATTTCATGATATGATGGAAGAAAGTGTTCAGCCAAATATGGGAACTTATGAAGGTTTGATATCTGCTTGTGGAAAGGGAGGGCTTCATGAGGATGCAAGAAAGATTCTTCTTCACATGAATGGAAAAGGGATAGTGCCAAGCTCAAAGGCTTATACTGGTGTTATTGAAGCTTATGGACAGGCTGCACTATATGAAGAAGCTCTTGTTGCCTTCAACACGATGAATCAAATGGAGAGCCAGCCGACTGTTGAAACTTACAATTCATTGCTTCAAATGTTTGCAAGAGGCGGACTGTATAAAGAATCTCAAGCAATTTTGTCCAGAATGAATGAGGTTGGTATTGCTAGGAACAGTGATTCATTCAATGCTGTGATTGAGGGTTTTAGGCAAGGAGGCCAGTTTGAGGAAGCTATCAAGGCTTATGTTGAGATGGAAAAGGAAAGAATTGATCCAGATGAGCGGACCCTTGAGGAAGTTTTGAGTGTCTACTGCTTTGCAGGTCTCCTAGATGAGAGCAAGGAGCAGTTCCAGGAAATTAAAGCTTTAGGAGTATTGCCCAGTGTCATATGCTACTGCATCATGCTGGCTGTTTATGCAAAGTGTGACAGGTCTGTTTTATATAATTGTGTAATGAACCTTTTTTTTGCATACATGTCGTGTACATGATTAATTTCTTGTTAGAGTCTACATAAATGCCTTCCAAAATTATAAATACCTAAAAACTAAAGCATTAAGGAATTGGGATATAATAATTAACTAGAAAATCAGTAGATATAGGCCACTAAGTACATCAATGTAGATGCTTGTACATCACATGGACCTGGGAGCAAGTGTTGGACACAAGTACATGACCAACAGGGTTACTCCATACAATTTTTGTAGGATTTTCCTTTATTTGGAAGCATTCAATCATCATATCTGTGTGGATTCTAAGTGTCTGATGAGTATCTGACATGGGTACACTAAAGTGAAGAGTCTGTAACGAAGATATGATGTTAATAACATTGATTATGTGTAGGGCACTTTGCTGAAATATAGATAGTATGGACATGAAGTGAAGAATGATTCATTTAGGGAGACAACTAGAAACCGACAAATGGTATGATAGGATGTCTCAATAATGTTTGAATGTTTTATTGACACATGCATATAAAAATAATAGGCTGAGGATTGATTGGCTGTTGAAATGAAGAGATGACTTCTGGAACTTTGATAATAAACTTAGCATTGTATCTACTTCTCCCACCTAATGATATAATTGGTACTCTGCTGAATAAATTTAATTTCAACCGGACTTGACTTGAATAAGCCTAACTGTTATTGAAGTGTACAGGTGAACTAGATATACTCTCAACTTTCAAAGTCATGAAATGAAGGAAGACATTAAAAGCCCTAATGATATGTGGATACGTGCAATTTATGATGAATTACCAGATTAACAATGTAAATAAAAGGAGATATTTAGAGGTGTAAAATGTAGTCCTGCAGAATAAACTTTTGTACTTCAATCATTTGTGTTATAACCCCAATGATACAAGATCAAAAGGACTAGAATCTTTACATATCTTTGTGATTTCTGGCACCAGGTTGTACAATGTTGGTTCTTTTTTTGACATGGAAAGTTTATGTTAAAATGTTGAAGGTTGAGATTATATTTAGTTCACCTGTCCTTGGACCATGCTTTGAGAAAACGAATTCTGGATAATTGTCTTTTTTCAGTTTTGGTCTCTTTTCATTATGGCACTCTCTTATGAACGTTAGATGGCACCTTTCTGTTTTGTTGTGCGGTTCTTTCTTCATTCTACGTTGTGCATTAAGCTATGAGTATGAGTACAACACTGCTAATTTCTTTTTTGTTGCATTGGTGGATGATGGGATATCTTTTGTTGGAAGAGTCACGATAGTTTAAAATTAGAATAGGAATCCAAGTTTAATGGTGTCTTAGAGTGAAACTTTATTAAACAACTCCAGCCTAGGATTGCTATTAATTTCATGTATTTCACATGAACTATGGAGACAGAACATATTTAATTGACTTGTTTGGTAATTTGACTTACCGCCAAAGCTCTCTCTGTTCAGCTGGGATGATGCCTATGAACTGCTGGATGAGATGCTTACAAACAGAGCTTCAAATATCCATCAAGTGACTGGGCAGATGATAAAGGGTGATTTTGATGATGACTCTAATTGGCAAATGGTAGAGTATGTCTTTGACAAGCTTAATTCTGAAGGGTGTGGTTTGGGTATGAGGTTTTACAACACACTCCTAGAGGCACTTTGGTGGCTGGGTCAGAAGGAAAGGGCTGCAAGAGTTCTTAGTGAAGCAACAAAGCGTGGGCTTTTTCCAGAACTATTCCGAAAAAACAAACTTGTATGGTCTGTGGATGTGCACAGGTATCATGAGAATTTTTTTTTCCTGAAGTTCTCTATTTTCATAATCCATTTTATTTTCTTCTGAGATTGACATTGGCCATTTGACAGGATGTGGGAAGGTGGTGTGTACACAGCCATATCGATTTGGCTCAATGATATGCATGCTGCACTCATGAATGGGGAGCATCTTCCTCAACTAGCTACTGTTGTTGTAGTGTAAGTCACAATCAGTATGCAATTCGTGGAGCTTTCTCCAGCTGTTTTTGTATTGAATAGAAGCCTGACTTTTACATTCAAAATAGTTGACTTCCCATTTTAAACAACCATATGTCCTTGTTGTGAGGCTAAAATACCTGATGCATTGCATGCTATTATGAATCTTCTCATTGATGACCTTTTTGCTCCTGCCTGTCGTTGTTGCACCTTGAATAAGTTTTAAATGGCGTTTAGTTTTGAGGCCCTCTGAATGTTTTCCCTATCTCTGGATATATCTATTTATGTCTTTGTCCATGGTCATGGACATATAAATGGATGACTTGCTTCTGACCACATTGTTTGATTAGTGAGATGTCTGAGTAGGGATGCATCCTGGGTGAAGTTTTGCATGGCTAGCACTGAACTTGTTGAGGCACAGCCAAACTAAGTCCATAGAGCCCTTACATACCATTGGTTTTAATGAAATTATAAACATTAGATGAAGGGACTTGCCTAGATTTTCTCACTATCAGTTATCTGTATGATTTTAAGTATTGAATCTTCTACAATATGTTTGCAATTTGTATAAATGCATTGAAATGCAGAGAGTTCCTGCTTAACTATTTGGCTTATCTTTCTCTATGCTGGTCTTGTGTGTTATACACAGACTTATCAATTGAATTTTGAGATTCTTCACTTATCTTTTTGTTAATGCAATGCTCTTTCTCTTTTTCAGACGGGGCCAGATGGAAAAAGCCTCAACTACACAACATGTTCCCATTGCAAATGCTGCTTATGCATTCTTGCAGGATAAAGTGTCACCATCATTTTCATTCCCAGGATGGAACAAGGGCCGAATTGTTTGTCAGCGGTCTCAGCTCAAGCGAATTATGTCCAGCTCTGGCTTATCTCCTGACAGTTCACATAAGGATTCTATAATTACTTTAAGTAACTCCCCATTTTCTTCTCTGGGGTCAAAAGCATCGACAATTAACAATGAGTACAGCCAACATGATGACCATGTGAATTCTAAAACAAAATGGAGGACAAGTACAGAGCTAATAGCCAGCACAGTCTGAAAAGATACAGATCCATTAACCAGTTCTTCAAGGCCAAAATCTTTCTCTTATTTTCTGTACAAAGGAAGCTAAAGCTGGAGGATTGATTTGCTTATGTCTTCTTATCTTTGCATGATTTGAAAATCAACTTCTCCCTTTGCCTAGATAGTCTTGCCAAATGCAAAGAACCAGCTGAAGCACATACTCTGGTGATGATAAATCCAGATAGATACTGTTGCATTGTGAAGTAAAACATTTGAGTTCCTGAAATCATCAACAGGCAGAGCAGGTATGATATCAATCATCTGTTTTTGTAGCTGTAGATTTTCTTTATTTTCATTCTATCAAATTATTTTGAGCAAGATCCATGCATATGTGTAAGTCTTTCATAAATTATTAGCCATTGATTTCAAAAATAATAGTTGAAATGATGATGCTATAAAGTCATCTCAACTGTTGAATTTGAAGATCAGGTTCTGATAATTTATGAAGACTCATGCATATGTAAGTGGACATTGACTCAATTATTCTTTTAACAGTAGTTGAAATGTTGGTACAGGTTTAAGAACCATTGAACTGTGAATATATAATCTAAATGAGGTAGAACTACTAGATGAATGAACTAGGCAATGGCTCTAGCCGAATAAAGGAACAAGAGACAATGGCTGTGAAGCCAATGAAAAGTCCAAAATCATGCTTGGAATTTAGGATATGCCATATTAACAATAATTTTATTGTGCCACGCATAGCTGAAGGTACAGCTCTTTGATACCACTACAAATAGGGAAATGAAAATAAAATGTATTGAATGTAAATGGTGCAAATCTAAATATTTTCAGTTGATTGAAAGTGGGGAAACCCTAGGTCAATAATAATGTGTACCCCAAATAAAAGAAACTATTTAGTGAAGATAGGGGTGCACTTACCCAAATATATATGTAAACCTTATTTAGTGAAGATAGAGAATCTCTATACGTAATGGAAAGAATCTTAATCAGTAGTAATACATGCTTTCAGTCTTCATTATATGAAGGTTCATTATGTTTTTTAATCAACTGATAAATTAATTTAGACCCACATTATAAGTTTGAGAAAGCATAATGATCCTCCTCTTAGGCTAATGGGAGAAAGAAAGAAGAATGATGTTTTAATTTGATTTTGAAATTCTTCATTTAGTAGAGAAAGTGGCTTCTTATATTGTTTTTGAGTGAAAAACTTTAAACTAAAAAATGATTATGAAATCCCATTAAACATGATAGTTTACCGTGGTTGGTAGGTGAGGATGCTCAAGGAATTTAACCAGAGGAGAACCTACAGAATGTCTTTGAAAACTGCAGTATTTTCTGCAGATTGTCAAGTTGGTGATGTTTACCCACTCTTTTATCTCTTTTCCTCTTTTCTTTCTT